TCATATCTCGGCCACTTTTCGATCGATTCCAACAATTTTTTTTTCAACACTATCTACCCGAACTCCAGTTTCCGAATATGTCATTTTTCGGAAAATTGTTTCTGGTTTCGGTGGTCAAAAATGGACAAAACCAAAAATTTACCTTTTTTTTGAAACGCCACCTAGCGGTTAAATTTTGAAATTTTCCAATTTTTTTGCGGATTCTTAATTTGGTGCCCGAACACTACTAAAATATGCAAAAACCCTTTTTCAAAAGTCAGCGGTATCGATTTTCATTTCTTTACAGTATATATAGAGTGACGCAAAATATACATATATTTCATATGTATGTTGGTATTGCGTCACTTGGGGGACTCCCGTCCCCCGTGATATTATTATAGAATTCAGTCGTTGAAAAGTTTGAATGAAGCCCCTTAGTTTCTGATATAGAATTCCATAGATATAGATTTTATGTAGTTCAGTAAAAAAAAATGTTCAAGTTCGAAAAAAGTTCCTCTTTGTTTCTGTGTTAAAAGTGTTAAAAAATTAAAAAAAAAACATTTTGCTTCAATTTAAAATGTCTAGTTATTTTTATTTCATACAATTTTAAATGTTATTCTAAATTCATTTTTTAAAGTTTAATTTAAATTTATCGAAACTAGAAATATTCATACAATACCATTTTGCTGTCAATTTATTTTTCTGGTATTTCAATAAGTACTCAACTATATAATACAATAGCTAACAGATTTCGTAAATATAATTCTAAATGTTTTAGGGCGTTTTTTTATTCAATGTATGCCAATTTTTAAGATGATTTTTAATACTATTTTTTTTAAATATTGTATCAATTGAAATAATTTAAGTCAACATATCCGGTACTCTTTTCTTTCGTTATGATCTTTCTCAATTTCTGAGATCAAGATTTCAATAGTTATAATAATTATAATAAATGCATTTGAATTTGTTTTTATATCTTCATTGTTGTTTCTTCGTTTTGGATTCAGGAATGAAAGTGGAAAACAATAAAAAAAATAAATAAATAAAAAGAAAAACAAATAACGTAAGGAGATAGCCATTTAGGCACTTTAAAGTTTCTTAATTCTTACACTTGATTTTTGCACGAAAATAAATAAATAGAAATCTAAACGAATTTATTTCAACATTTATATAAACATTCATACGTATTTTTTACATTTTGTAACATTCAAATCGCTCATTAAATCAATATTGGTCGGTCCATTTTCTTATATCTGTTATATAACTGTTTCTTTTCTATTTTTCATACTCGCCGCTTCTTACCATTAGAAATTCTTAATTCTTTATCGTAACATTTTGCACCTGAGCTGAGAGTTTGAAAATTCTCCCTCTCCTTCTGTTCCTTCAAAAAGTGATTACTTTCCAAAAGAAATGGAAAAATAACAATTTATATTGAAATTTGCCACTAAAGTAGCATCGTCCATCATTTGATTTATATTTGATAAGATTCTTTTCATAAGTGTTCGTCTAACTCGAAGGTTTTAATGAATACAAACATGAAAACCTATCGAATTCAACACTCGATCAGATTACTTGATACTTTTTGATGGGCATTTTAATGTCAATAGAAAATGGGAGAAACTAAATGGTCTGTTGTCGCTTATTTGATATGTTACGTGTTTATCTTAATAAAAACCACAACGAGAAAAAAAAACAGACGATGTGTAAAGTTATTGCATGAAAAATGTCAACAGAACTTTAGTATTGAGGAATGTGAGTGGGAAACTCTCCATCGTCGGATGTCTTCGAATCGAATTCGCACCATAAGAAATTATTTAGTTTCTGTTTGCTATCACAGATAAAATATAAATGAAATTTCATAATTCTTTTGTTATATTTTTTTTTTGCAGGAAATATGGTCAGATATCCATCGCTTGGATTCATCAAAGCGTATAGATCCATCTGACGGTATTGCCTGTTTGTTATATTATTGAACTTTATAATAGTTTCTTATTTTCTACCAAATATATTCATTTGAAAACATTCAAAATTATTCTCATTATGTTCGATCATTTAATTAATAAAGTTTTAAAATTTATTTGTTTTTTTTTCTTCGTTTGTTTGTGAGACGCACCGATGTCGCAGCGATTTCACGGAATCAATACGAAATGCATTTCTTTTTGTTTGAACCTGACACAAACATTTAAGATAATACGAAAAATAACTTATGGTCGTACATTAATCATATTGAAATGAGTGAATTGAAAGAATTTTTAACTTTTTGTCTAATGGAATTGATGTTCGATGGCAACTTTTAATGGTATTGAGTGTGAATGTGACATAAAAATCTGCATAGCATTATCAAATAAATCGGTCTGCGCCAAGACCAAATCAATTCAAAAATTATTCAATGGACAGAGCTGTAAATTGAGCCAAAAATCAAAAATTTTGTATGGAGGGTAGCTCTAATTTTCATTGAAATTTCTTCAAACTTTCATGATGTTATTTTTTTTTCTTAACCCGGATGGGAAATCTCGATACCATAAACTTTTTTTACCACTCTAGTGCGCGCACTGCCAGAGTGAAATTCAGAGCTCAATCAATGGAAACGGTTTCTGGACCGATGATCATGGTCTTATCTTATGAACATTTGCTATTGCAAATTATTATTAGTAATAAGGTTTTTCATAAATTTTCAGTGTCTAATTAAAGTCTATCATGAAAAAAAGTATCTAATGCTTTAAATAGTAGTTTTGTGTCAGGTTTTTTGTTTAGGTACTAAGCACACTCTCATTTGGTTGATTTACTTACATTATAGGGACGAAAAAGTGGATTGTAGAATTATGCTTTTTATCTTTCTATTTATATGTACAATAATCTTATTTGATGTGCAAGTGACCAAATGATTGATAACTCGTGTACCAAAATTAAATATTTTATTTTTTGAATAAGCTTGCGATCAACCAAAATCGATTCATAGTACGTATTGAAATGATACACAGTAAAACTAACAGATCATCGTCTGGCTTTCTGAAACTTAATTTTTAAATCGAATCAAAATGTTTATCAATCGTTCGGTCACTTTTTTCATAAAATTAACTTTTTTATTTGTATTATTCTGCGATCAACAAGCTTAGGCGCTAAATTGATGGATTCAGTTTTGACTTATCAACTTTTGATCAAAATTGACACAATATAGGTCACATCGGGTTATAAAAACACTTAAAAATATGATGATTTTACATTTTTTTTTCCTCTTGAAGTTCCTATGCTGAGAATTACGTAGAAACATATCTGACCATTTGGTTTAATATACTTTTTTGGGCCTGTTTTATTGTGCTTTTATGAAATTGTATTTAATTTCATTGGCATTTAGTAATTCATTGCACAAAACATATTATATATGAGAATGAAAATGGTTTAACGAATCTGATCATCTAGTCTCGCTTACAGAAATTCCCATAAGCGAGAATATGAAATTAGATTCCCTCTTACCCTTTGCTGACTCAAAAATTGCCAACAAATACACAACTGCCAGTCGTTTTTCATCATCATAAATCTCAAGTGGTTTTGCTTTTCTAATTGGTTAAAGCAGTACTTCAGTGCCAAAGCCACACACAATCATGGTGGAATTTTGTATTTGAGTTCAAGAAAAAAGATTAAGTCAGCTGGAAAATATTTGGAGATTGACGTGATTGCAAAAGGAGTTTCAAGAGATTTTTTTCTTCTATTATTGTAGATGAAGAATAATCGAATTGCCATTATAGTTATCAATTAGTGTAAAACGGAGATAAACTAACGATAAAAAGAAAAAAAAATAAATAGATAAAAGAAATTGTCTCTAGTAATATCGATTTTTGAATCTTGTTCTCTTATGTAACTAGGCGTGCATATGTACATATTTCGTTATAACTTAACCCTCAAAGTTGATTCTTATCTCGATCGAAACTGAAAGCTTTTAAAATGCCTCTGGGTCTTTGTCGGGGTACACTTTGTTGATCAAAGCTGGCGGCTCGACTTCGTGGACGATGCACCCGATCGATTTCCAGTTCGCTATTTTCAGTGTCTGTGTCCAAGGTGTCACTACGTAAATGAGATCGATGCCGTGCACCCGACGAGCTCTCGTTCGGTTCGCTTGCTTCTGAACTGAGTGGTTCATCTCGTCGACTTTCTCGTCGATTCAACTCGGCCGCCAACATTCTAATTTCCCAATTATCCGGCTGCAAATCTTCGTCAATATCCACATCTTCGTCATCTTCTTCTGCCTCTTCTGAAAGTATTATAAATGTACCAATGTGAATTAAAACATTTTAAATGTATTGAACATTAGATTAGTTAACCTTCTTGAATATAATCGTCGACCTCTTCGTCTACTTCATGTACATCGTCATCAATGCTAGAACTTGTATCGGAGCTAGTTTCAATATTCAGAATTACGGAGTCAGACAATTGTTTGATATTTCCAGCAGCGTCAATAATCATGCTCGAGCTGTTTCGTAGATGCGATAAATTCGTTACAGGCTCGAGACATGTTTCTTGATCAGTACTCTCTTGTTGCTGTTGTTCCAATTGGCGTCGTCGACGCGGTGAACTTCGTTTCTTTGTTTTTGCTTTAATCCGATTTTCTCGCTCACTATCAGGCGGCGATGATGCAAAAATTGTATCCAATGAATCACCGCGCTAAAATTGAATCATTTCCATTTGACTTTTATGTTTTCTCTTTATATGAAAAATATATTACCACAAAGGGAATATCGCCAGAGGATCCTGTGCTTCCATTTCTAGTAGAGGCAGCGGCCATCATAGCGATTGTTGTTGGTGACACATTTTCAAGCTCTTGAATTCGATGTTGTAGCTGATTTATCAATTGATCGCGTTGACGTATCTCAAGATCCAGCGATTGAAAATGATCTTCAAATCTGGTTTGCACATCCAGTAAATGTGTCTGAATCACATGCTTTATGCCTATCAATACTTCGCTAAAGAGCTCGTGTTCCTCAAATGAACCTACATTCCGAAAATGAGTTTTGTTAAATTGAAACGAAAATAAAAGAAAACCATCGATTAAATGGATGCATTTCAAATCGTATGCAAAATCCAATTAGAATAAAATCAAACACATTGCTCTCAACGAGCACAAAATACGAATAATGTGTTATTTTTTTTTGAAAACGAAAAATGCATACGAAACCAAAAACAAAAAAATCGGATCATAAGCGTGTGATTGCTTAGGTTGTTGAATTTGTATAATACATAAGCTGATCAAAATCAGAGATGTTGGTCGTGCAAATGCGTGCTTTCGTGCCAATCGCAGTATTTCACAAAAGAAAATAATAATTAAAAAACGAAAAAAGAAAGTAAAATTAATTAGTAGTCGGTACTACCCCGTTACCCGAAACTATATTTGACATTACTTGAAGCCACCGACATAAACTTTAGGTTAGCAAGTTTCAAGCACTTAAAGGTAGCCATACTTTATTACGAAAACGGGGAAACACCTTAAAAAAATATTTATTAAAAAAATCAAAAGAAGTGCGGATCCTAATCAAAAACAAGAAGAACGAAACCGATAAAAATATATAAGTGGAAATTTTATATACACGATTATATACATCATTTATAAATAAATGTCATTTGTGTTTGCATTTGTCTGTGGTCACATCAAATCTAAAGCATTTGTTCTCAGGTCGGGTGATTCAAAACTTATTTTTGTGTTGGAGAAGCGGGAATCTGCAATACCTTTCGTTTCTTGTCTTATTAATTCGTTTATGGGATGAAATTATAATAACAATAAAAGGGTTTATGTGGTTATGTTGATGATAATGATGATCGATGCATAATATATACAATTTTGCCTACAGCCTTCGGCACATGAAAAAAGATAATGAATTTCACAAAAAAATCTCCTCATTTCGCTTCAAATTCATTGTTTTTCTTCGTTACAAGGTCTTATATGATAGGAGCTAAGGATCATTCTCAAGTACAAATTGGTTTAATTTTTGAATTTGTGTTGTTTAAAAAAAAGATGGAAAATATGTTTATTTTAAAATTTCGATATAACAAATGTTAAATAGCATGTGATGGTGTATTTTGCGTGTTTTTTTTACTGGTTGACTAATGAAGATGAAAAAAGATGTGACACATAAAAATATTTATAGCACTCAAAATACAAATAAGTAAATAAAATATGTGGATGCAGTTAAATAAAATCAATCGAAACATATCTAAAAAAAATGAGAACGTTAAAAAACTAAGAGATTAAAATGATGGATGATTGATATAGTTTTCATTATGATATTTTATTTACCTTTAACCTTAATTTTATTAGTGATAAATGGATTTGTAGACCCCTTCAGTGGACTGGAGTCTTCAATTTTCTGGGGCGAAACGCTCCCAAATAGTTGTTGTGACTGAAATTGTGGCGATGATATTTGTTCTTGTGTTAAGAAAATATCATCGGTAATCGATATATCTTCCTGTAAACTACTAGCTTTATTATTTTTACTGTCGGATAATAATAAAAAAGAGTGATCAGATTGAATGAATTGTTGTTGTTCATGATGTTCGACTTGAATGAGTGTTGTCGACGTTTCGTTTGATGATTGTGCGCTCGACAGCAGTGGAAATGGATTACGGTCATCGTTCGCACTGTGCGCACTATTCGGTGGACTGGAAAGAGTTGAATTGAAGGTTACGCTCTTCATAAATTTGCTGTGTCTAGCAACGTACCCTTCGACGGTCGGTGCACTAAGCAATCCCTTTAATTCGTCCGGTTCATTAGTCCCTAATTTTGGTTGTTGGTTCGGTGTTGCACCCTTCTCTTCCGTTAATTTCTTCAAAATACTTTTCAATTCACGCCGCTCTAGTGTTTCATTCGATTCCGGGCTGACGGGTGTTCGTGGCATATTCAATGGAGCTATCGGTACAATTGTATTGGTTTTATTCATATAAGTTGTTGGTGCGACTGTTGTTATTGTTGATATTTTTGATCGTATCATGCCCGATCCTTCGCTATGGCTTCGTATCAATGGTTCTGGTTCATTTCCATCGCTCCAATCAGGGCAATCAAGGCTAAAGCTTCGTGTTTTCATAACCGATTCTAATTCGGCGAGTTTTTGGCGTTCATTAAGGATTTTTAATTTTTTGACAAACGGAAGGCCCCCATATTCCGGTGATAAATCATCAACCGATCGATAAATTTTCTGTTCGCCTTGTGATTTAAGGCATCTTGATTTAAATTTCGATTTGCTACCAGGTGGCCATTCAGCATGTCGAATTTCACTATCACTTGTGCAAATACGTTCGGTTGCCTTTACAATCAATTTATCACTTTTTTGTGCGATCTTTAGCGGTGCCAACATTGTATGGCTTGTTGTTGCTATTTCACTCGTTGGAATCGAAACTCTTGCGCTTGTTGTTGGTCGTATTTTAGCTATTTTAATGGGCGGTTGTTGTATATGAGTTGGTGATGATTCGGCAAAACTATTATTTAAACTTGCATAACTGCTGCCACCACTTAATACAGTCGCTAGTTTTAGTTTTGACCATGGTTTTAATTGTGCTGTTTGTAAATCTTCACTTTTGGCATGTTGGTGACTCAATTGTTTTATTTTATTTTTAAACGATAGAGAACTGGATTGTTTCATGGACTTTCCATTTTCGCTACTTGATGGGCCCGCCATTGCAGTACTGCTAGCTACGCTTGGAACGGTTTCAATAAGTTTCTCTTTATCATCGCTGGTCGATTTGTGCTCTTTGTTGGTGCACGTTGGACTGCTGGCAGTTATTGATGATATAAATGGTACCTGTTTACTCTCCGAATGCTGTAGACTTTTGATGCGATCACGAAATGATACTTTTGGCTTAGAGCCGCTTGCAACTGGTGTCGGTGCCGGCACCAAACCAACCAAAACACTGGTCGTTGTATTCGTTGATGCTTTCAAGGAACTCAACATGGAATTTGATGCTACTGCATCACTTATTGTCGTTACAGCCGTTTGTGGTGCAGACTAAATTAGATTTTTTTCAATTTTTTTTTTCATTTTGAATAAATATATAGAAAAATTAAAAGTTAAACAAATTTTTTGTAGACAAAAATGTGATGGTTTTTTTTTTGAAAGAAATTACCTTCACTTGTGATTCTTTGGCTAAACGTTCTTCTTTGGCTTTAAGCAGTAATAAACGTTTAATAAGCGGCAAACCAGGACCAACAACGTCCGGCGTTTGTTGTTCGTTTTCTTCTTGAATTGATTGCTGTGGCGAAACAGCAGATCTAACATGAGTATTTTGTGGTGATGATAGCATTGGTTGTGCAGGTTTTACAGCTCGCTCTTCGCGATCCTAATGATCAGTGCATTTCGTGTGTAGTTTTCAAAATAAATTACACACGCACAAATGTGTACACGTAACATAAGGAGAATACATCAAGTACGGAAAATGATACAAATAATACCAAAATGAAAATGATAAAACATGTGTTTTTGCACCGGACACAAATACCAGGGGTGATTGGGTTTGGAGAAAAAAGAGAGAGAGAAAAGAGGAAAAACGACACATTGTCTAATAAGCAAACATACATGGGTGGGTTTTTAATAAACTATTTTCAAATTAATCATTTTCTCTCAATTCAATGTTACTAAGTTGAATCGACAATGTGGAGAAAGAGATTTTTTTGGAGATCTTTAAATTTAGCCACATAAATTCAATATTACTTTTGCCATTTTACTCCAAAACAAGGTAAAAAGGCCGATATTGTTGTCTAAATGAAATCTCTTTCTTCATATTCGTACATTTTCAATACTAACATTTGTTATTTACAAGGACGATGGAAATTAAAATAAAAAGCAAAAAGTTGCACAGGATATAAGCCAAAACAAATTAAATCAAATTAAAGCAATCCATTTGATAATGGAGTTTATAGTACAACATCAGGTATATATTCTTATGTGACTTTTATGTTCGAATACTTGTTAAATAGGAGTGTCTAAGATCGATGGGACTACGATGGCTTTGTACTATTTATCGAAAATTACGGGCGACATAAATACTCTGGAAGAATTTTTCTTTGCTAACTGCTGAATGTTGTTCAATTCTATATTAAAGTCATGCTGTTTACAGCAAATCGGGAACGTCAAATATAAAACGTTGATTTTAACTATGAAATGTTTAAATCATCAGATAAATTCTGTCAGGAGCTTTTAACCAAAAATGCATGACTTTCTATACTAAATGTTGATGTCAATTACTCAAGATTCAATCAAAATAGTACTACTCCACTGAATTTGGAAATATTATTTTCGTAACTATAAGCTTTTTTGCCTTTGAAACAAAAACAATTAAAAAAATGATTTTAAAAAACACTTGCTTTCTTCTGAATATCATGATATGCCATAATGGTGAATGTCGAATCGAGATATGTACAAAAAAATTGCAATATTTTCGGCGAACAGAGAAAAGAAAGCGGTTAGCATTCGATTTTTTGTTGTCGAGAATAAATATTTTTACAAGTTTTTAAACAAAATCAAAAGAGCAAAGAAAGTTTCGAACAAAAAATCAAGTATAAACCATGTCCAATTGTATAAATAAAACACAAAATGCAAATGTAAAACCAACTGACTTGTTTTTCCTTGAGCAATCGAAGTCGATGCAATAGTGGCAATCCAGCTCCAATTGGACTGGGTGTTTTGTCTTTTTCATGGGCATGCTGTGCTTGGTCGGCGCTTGTTTCTTGTATTTCATCGGATCGAACACGTGGCATTCGGCGTAACACTCCCTTTGGACCTTTTAAGTGAAGCGGTTGTAATTCAATCGATTCGTTGCTCCTTCGACCCGTTGCCCTAAATCATAAAAACCAAATGTGTTATTTGTACAAAATGTCATTTAAAAGAGAATCGCCATCTTTCTTTGCTCACCATCTGGACTTTTTTAACACATTTTTTATCCCCTTGACATCGCTCCGTAGTTTATCTACAATGCGTTTTTTACTATCACTACTGTTATCTAGATTTTTATTGCGAAGATGCACGTTACTTGCAATACTTTCACGCTCGGCCACATTTTTAGCGTGCTTCTTGTTGACACATCGCACTTCCATCAAACGTTTACGTCCTAATGTTTTTAAAATTTCTTTTGCTTCTGGATAGTCTTGCATGGCGGCCAACACGTCCTCACGAGACAATGAAAACAATTCCGAATAACCAACTGATCGAACATCTGCCGTTCGCCTGTTCCTCGTATGAAGGATTGGTTTTTTGATAATATGGTTATTTGAAATTCAATTATTTGTGGAAATACTTACTTGTTCAAACCATCCAAATTTAGGATGCCGATTTCGCCAAAAAAATCACCCGCCTTCATTGTAGTTAGTACTTTTCCGGTTTCGCTAAGCACTTCCAAAATTCCATCGGCTATGATAAACATTTCACGTGCGATTTCACCCTTACGACATATCGAATCGCCAGGCGTAAAAATGTACGCTCTCATCTTCAACACTAAATCGTGTAGAAATTCTGGTTGACATTCTTGAAAGAGACAGCATTCGTTTAATATTATTCGTTATCAGGTAAAATAGCACAGGTATTTCATTCTTCGGTCCGTCGTTTATTTGAACCGAAGAATGAAGTATTCTTTGACTGAAGAATCCCTTACCTTGAAAAATTGTCACCTGCAGCCAACGCAACAAAAGGAGCACATATTTAAAAGACAAACAACAAAATAAATGGTAAAATTCGTGTTATAATACATATATGGGAAACCACATAAAATAAGCACGAACGACACACACACACATACATAAACGAACACAACTCAAATATATACGAATGGAATGAACAACTTGCGCACAATGAACAACTTCAAAGAAGTTGAATTGCTTCTGAAGTTTTCGAACATAATTTACGAGTGTTTCTTTTTTCTAAGCAAAATAATATCAAATGTGAAAGGTAAAATACGAGTTGATTTATGTGTTCGGTTCAAAGTGAAACCATTTTTGGATTTCATTATATCGAAGAACATGTTTGATAATTCACACAAAGTTCATAGTGTGAACCGTTTTTTTCATCACACTTTTTTGCTGAGAAAAGAGTTTCGGCTGAGATCGTATTCTGCGAAAAAGCTTGACGAAAGTTTCTTCAAATCATTATAATTAATGAAAAAAATTACTGCGCTATTCGTTTTACATTGAACAAAAAATGAGTAAAAAAGATGCTAGCATGGAAATTACATTATTAAAACAAACACAAGAAAGGAATCGAGTGAAATATAGTCGCAAACCTTTTTTAGAACGTTTAAATTAACATGAAGTGCCAATTCAGTTTTTAGTTTATCGGGTAGTAGACCTAGAGCCGTATTGATATCACCACCACCTTGGATTCGTCCACGTGACCAGCTGTAATCGTACCAACGTAGCACACGTCGTTTCATACCACCGGGTACCTATGATGAGTTCGGATGAGAAAAATGTGATAAAATCAATGAAGCACATTGATATTGTTCAAATGTTAAATATCTCACCTTATGATGTCGCATATAGGTTTTTGCACCATCCAAAAGTCTTTCGAATTCCAGTCGATTTGCATTTCGATTGGTTATCACATTACCCACTTGACCGACAATCGTTGCAAATATGAATACACCGATTAAATAGCTGACAATCGTAAAGATGTATCTGGAAAACGAACAAATTCAAGTGAAAAACTTAATCATATGGAATAAATCGAATTTTTTTCATTGCTTATGCACATCAATCAATCGAATTTTCACACAGATGTCAAAGCTTTCGAAATTGTTTGTGTTTATACTGTTGTTTTTTCACCCTTGTATTTTTTCATTGATTTTGATATATCATGCGATCAAGTTTCGTGGCATTTTTTACAAGCTACTTTTTGCAATCATAAAAAAATAAACCAAAAGGAATAAATTGAATAAATGAACCCACACTGACATGGATTGGATAAATGTTATCGATATATTTTCATTGGTACTAACTGAAGGCTGTCACGCACAATTTCGAAACCTTTGAATTTCGTGGGAGTGAAAACAATTCTTTGTTCAAAAACATTTTAAAATGTTGAATGATGGCTAAAGTATGTTTTTTTTTATTTTAAAAATACTGTATCATTCTGTTCATACACTTTTCATATGACACCACTTAACTGAATGAAACAATAGACTCAACACAAAATATGTTCTTCATGTTTAAATGTTTCATAATGAATTTGTATTCTCTCTGTTTTTTTTTATTTTTATTTTTATCAACATTGGTCAAAAAAGCAAAAACACATTTACTTCAGCTCAATCAAATCAATTACGAAATTGAAAAACCGCATGCACCGAATCGATTGCATTCGACAGCAGAATTTATTTTCAGTTAGTGAAAACTTAATCAAATAAATACAAAATCCAAAGAAATCGGCGGACAGCCTTCAGTTGAATCAAACCTATACATTTGAATGATTACTGAATCTTAGAAAAAAATCCCGAAATTTGATCAAACAATATATTTTTATACGTCTACATTCAATTTCATGATATCATCGCTTTGATTAAACCACTTCAAATAGATTCAGCCGAAGTGTGGCTATTCAAAACTGCTGAATCTTGGTTGAAGAGTGAAATATCGAATTGATAGAATGTCAAAGCCATTCAATTCGTTGCTTGGTTTTAATAAATTACCCATAGTTTGATGCAAACTGAAGTAAACGTGACTTAATACCACGGCGCGGTAGCGATCTTGGACCGTCTGGCGAGTTGGATGGTCTTTTTATATACAAATACAAAAAAAATCGTTGACTATAAAGTATGTTCATTGAAAAGTGCAAAAATTAGAAATTCATATGCATTTGCAATGAACTTTTTATTCATTGTCGTATACCTTTTTCATATTATATCTGTTTGGTATAATTTCTACAATTAAAATGAGTTCAAGAAATATAAAAAAATTGTGAGTGTTAATCGCCATGTAACAGGGCTGGCAATCGCAAACAAACATGATAATTGAAAAAGATGGCAAAATGTCTTAATAGGCAAATATGAGGAAGCGCTGCGGAGAATCTTCCTCTTCATTTGAGTATGTTTACGATTTTTTACATCAGGAAATATCTTTATGGGTATAAATACTTTTGAGTGTGACTTCTAATAAGCATGATTGATCTTGTTAGTTTTCCTCCTCACCATTCATACCCCTCAAAGTAACCTTCTCTGTTATATAGTGGCCTATAATCAAAATTGCCTATTTTTCTTCTTCTTTTTACATTTTTGCGCCATCTATCTATAGACTTGCAGTTTTGTTCAATTACAATATAATTTCATTTTAGCGAAGTCACGAACCAATATCATAAAGTTTCGACAACACATGAATTCATACGACTTACTGCTTATAGTACCAAACTTAAACATGTTAGGCATGTTTCTTTTATTGCGAATTCGATTATACTGAGATATTTTAAGGCAGCTGAGCCACTATTTAAATCTAAGTGAACGAGTTGAATCGAAGAAAAAAAGCGTTTCTCTCTTTCTCCTGTAAAATCTCATTACAATTTGTGTGCTTAACTGTAATTTTTCAAAAAGATTTACAGCATTACTGACGACACTCAATTAATTTGCTCCATGTAATACATTTCACACTCTCGCAATATTCCAAACTTTTGCTATTTTCATTGTATTTTGACAACGGGCACACATTTTGCAATATATAAACATTCGGGAGTTGACTCTGTTCCACAGTATTTGAGATCAAACCGAGAAAGTGGTCTTTCAACTCTTTGTTATAAGTGTTTTTTTTTTGTTTTCAAATTTATTACTTTTCATCCTATGGCGTTTGAAATGTTTATTTCTTTGGTGTTGCGAATAATCGCAGTAGATCTATCATATTGGCCGCACCGAAATCAAATAAATCGAAACGAAAAAGTTTTTATGGGTCTCGTGAAATATTGCACAATACAACTTTAATACTTATTTCTTGCCAATTGCACGTGGCACCACCACATCCACGGCCATGACATGTTATACAAAAACAATTTATTTCCGATTTTTTTTTATCGTACACCGTACAGCAATAGTTTTTTTTGCTATTTTCCACTTTTCACTTTTAAATTGTGAACTATGGGTGTATATAGCTATCAGCATATTTGTAACACAGTTTGTGGGAATTAAAAAAATAAATCTATTGGTTGCAATTGAATTTTTTTATTAGTATCCTCAATGGATACTCAATTTGTTCGAGTACACTTTCGAATTTAGCGTTTGTATAATGTGCGTAATTCTTCGTAGTGCGGCAAAAGTGAAAGAATCTATATTTATTTCAGAGGAAGTTTGATTGCATCGGCTGTTACTTACTTTAACCTCATTTTGGATATACACAACGATGTTAGTGTGAAAACAAATTTGGAACGATCTTTTTCACATTTACTGCTTAACGTCCAAAAGGAAAACCAACTCGTTTGGGGCGCTCAAAACTTACTCAGGGCCATTTTTTCTCAAGTATCAATGGATCCATCCCAAAAAAATTATTTTTCATCCTTGTATGGTTCAACTTAGGTCTAGTAAGTGAGTTCTCAATGTCTTCTTCATCGATGCTGATAAAATGGTCATTATGGCAAATAATGGGAAAGTTTATTCAAACAAGAGTTAAAACTGCATGTTACCGTTTTAAACTCAATTTAATTGGACGTTTTGAGAGAGAGAGAGAGAGAGAGAGAGAGAGGGAGAGAGAGAGATAGAGAGAGCGAAAAACGACGAGAAATCCGGTTAAACACGTATTTCAGATTATCTTTCTGAAAAGAGTTCATCCACATCATTGAGCAAATCAGAGCAAATAAAATTCACGTGCTTTTTGTGTTGTTCATCATTGGTGGATGTCTACGTATTTAAATCCACTGTAATGCCATAAATTGATAACGATGTCCATTCAAAATGGCAAAGAACACAAGAATGAATGGTATTGTTTATATTACTATAAAAAGTGAGATTTATTGAATGAAATCCCGAAATCCAATTAACATAACCAACGGATATTTTTACACATGTTGCAATTGTCAATAAATTATTGAACAAGCGCACATATGATTGTCGATTAAGAATTTATTCAAAAAAAAAATCTACGAACAAATTGATACATCATCAAAAATAACGGAGAGTAAACATAAATTGAAAAAAATAGTAGAAAGAGTGGTAATTTAACATGAAAATGGTTTAAATTTGATTGACATATCACTTGTGCAATCAATAAAATAAATAATTTACTCGGTAAATTTTACTGCATGTCTGTACATCCACAATGATGAATGACATTTAATCACTTCAAGCTCATTTAATGTATCAAACTTATGATAACAATCAAATTATATGAAACGTTGTTAAGATATTAAGACGTAGATTTTTTTCCTCTCTGTACATTCAAGTAAAATGAAAACAGTTCATCTTAAGCATCTTCAATTAATCAATGTTGGATGAACTCACAGACAGTATAATAAAAGTTGATGCTCATTCTGCAGAATAGCAGATAAAAAAAGGCATGTCTGTCTGCGTATGTCTGTAAGTGATCAATAAAAAGCTATTATGCGTTCACATCTCATATTTTTGCAACATCCTCCTCTCTATCTGGAAAGCATATGAGTGTGGTTTTTTTTCTTTTTGAAGATTTTTTTGGCATGGAGACGCTGACACAATTCAATATATACCTAGTTAAGGCGTATTGTTGTGCATCCTCAATACGCATTGACTGAAATATCGTGCAAAAAATGGCATGACTTCAATCATTCAAAACCTGTCTATGCGTGATGATTTGTTTTTTTTCTGCAAAATATGCAAAAATTGTGAACCAACAATGATTATGGATTTTGTCGTTCAATATTGTAAATATCAGACAGAAATGTCAATTCATTGTTCGGTCAGGAGTTGGTTCATTTGAAAAGGACAGTTGCCAGGCAAGCAATATTTCATGACAATCATTCAATTTGGATTTTATAGTTATATTTCATCATTCAAATGAAATGCCATTCTGTGTAGCACAATGCATGAAAAATATTAAATTACGCATGAACTCAATAGTAAAAAAAAAAATTATGAATTTCAATTGTAAGAATAAACTCGTCCCGTTTCGAAATTGGATTTGATAAATCAGTAATAAAGAGCAAAGTAGAAGTTTTTTTTCTCTCTCTCCAGAGTCGAACAAAGTCAACAACAACAAGATAAAGTTTAACTGAATTTTCTACTATAAGTCGAGAGATGCCAAGTACGTTTTTTTTCTGTTATGGCAGATGGTGATAGTGGTATAATTTCATTCAGAGACGAATATGCTGGGAGTTAAAAGCATAAGAAACGATAAACTATAGAAATATGAACTTGGGCGGGAATAATTTTTTTTATCGTCTACAATTTATGACGAATAAAAATATGAAGAAACCGAAACCTCAAATGTAAACACACAAAAGCGATTGAATTTCGCATTGAAATACATTTTGAGAATCTGATTCAAGACCGTTTCTTCCCGATTTTCTCTCTCTCTATCTTATTTTGTGTTAGTTTTTGAGTTTGATTCATAACATTCGATATAAGCTGTTGACTTGAACTATTACTTACTCAACATAGAAAATCTTGTGCAAAAAGTTGTTTATTTCCATTCCATATTGTTTTCAATCTCTTGACTATTGAAAGCCCCAAAATTTGCTTTGAATTTAAACGAAAAATGGTTCACAAACACGGATTGAACACTTTTCATTGTCTTTTTGGATTTTCACAATTTTACTTCCTCCGTGCGCTATGATCCGGTAGTTATTTCTCAACCACGTCGAAGGAGTAAATTTTAGTTCAGCAGAATATTCGTTTGAAGTATTATAGTAGAATCCGTTCGCATTTCGGCAACGCCAATATTGCCGAAACAATGAGTTAACCAAGGCAACAAGATTGAACTACCGGAAATAAAGTTGATGCTGAGCAAATAAATCGTTTGTGCTGAAAGCCGAGCGGTGATAAATTACAGTGCGAATCATTCAGAAAAGGAAATTTTTGTTGGCTGTTTTTGTTTTATGCATTTAGCACCATTTATTCAGGCGCTCAAAAAGAGTGGGAGAGAAAAGAACGAAACGAAAGTCAAGTAACATCCCAAAGTGACTCGAGAACAAAACCACATCCCTTGATTGTTTTTTGTCATTCATTGTATTGTGTACAGATTTCTTTTTGTTTTGTGTATTTTTTGTATGCGCCGATTCTTCTCTAATGTAGCACATCTCATGGCGAAAATCTCTATTCTTTGGGTGAGTAGAAAATCTCTGGGATCAATTTTTTTTACAAATTTTAATGTTTTTAATTTATTTATGGACTGTATAGTACTTTTGGGAAACAAAATAGAGCAGGGACAGACATTCATTGAGATTTTAAATTATTCAGATTGATTGAATGTAAAAACGATTCATTTCGTTTTGATGATATTTTCATATCTCATATATTTTCTATCTATTTTTTATCAGCAGATTCAAAAATATTAACTATTTACCAGAAAAACACCCACACAGCCGTTACATATTTTCCACTTGAAATGTATCGGATGTGTGTACGGTCTCGGTAGAACGTAAAGTTGTTTTTATTTACTTTTTTTTGTTAGTCTAGAAAACTGTACTTGGTTGAATTCTAAGTAGGCACATACATGTGTCGCATTCTTTTGAACTTGATAGAGGCCAAATTGGTAGAGTGTAGCAGATTGTCTCGTTGGAAATGTGATATACAGCCCATTTTGGTCAACGCATACAAATGTTGTCATTATCCACAGTCTAGTCGTATGACCATATTTTCCGTTGGCCATTCCAACCCATTATATAATTTCAACTTGCAAACTTTTACCAACTTTATTTTATTCACGATGTCGACGTGCTCAAAAAGGCGTACGTAGTATTTACGCAGTTAACTATTTAATTAAATATATGGGCAATAATAAAATGAGCTCAACTATGCACATTTCTTCCAAAGCAGGCTTTTTTCATCTGCGGAAGCAATTTTTATATTACAAAAATATTTTTTGGCTAGAAAACATTTTCCTCCTCCTCATTTTGGCCTTCTCACCATTCCTCTTCCTCAGAGAAACGTACTCTGTTAAAAGCTTTTTAAATGTGCCCTGTTTATACACGATATGATAACTTTAAATCTAATTTCATTTGAAACTTATCTTAGAAATGTTACGTTTTCTTAATCTACGAGTTAAAGCTTATACTATTACATCATATGTTGACCTTTTTGTCGCAAATAGATTGATGACAATGTCTAATCACTTCATTTCCACGAAAAGCACATTTATCACCATTAAATGGTGGTATCACCGTCTGTCTGTTCATTATAGTATATCAATAAAATTAATGTTTGAAACTTACTCAGCATTTGTTTCTGGTGTTGGCAAGTCACCAATGGTTGTTAGTGTTAACGTTGACCAATATAAACTGCCCAAATATTTTCTAGTTAAGGTTGCATATTCACCCGGCCGGTACGGATAAACCCAGTCGCCCTGATCGAAAAAGGCAACAACAAAAAAATGATTAAAATGTGTTCAATTAGTAGAATCAACTATAAAAATGACAAAAACAAATAAATGATCGTCAATAAATTAAATTATATTGGATGAAATGAACATGGCGGGATCTGTGATGAAATCCAATTGTTGTTGAAAATTACCATGCGAATGTTAACACAATCATGATGTGTAAGAATACATGCAATTTTAGTCACAAAATGTAATGCAATTATTTGATTTAATGTTTTTATCTTCGAGTCCATCGTAAGGGTCGTATATATTTCCATTCATTATTATTTGTACTCTACTATCAATTCGCATACGAAATCGGACGAGAATATATGTAAATGCGAATATTGTTTCGTTCTGCAATCCGGTCACAATGTAAAGAAAATGGATTCAACAATGATAAACTGGTATGGAAAAAAACTGACCCGTGATTTGGAAGATGGGTACTATAATGAGGGACACGCATAAACCATAAGATGGTAGTATTGATAAAATTAAAATGATTGCCGTCAATATTAAATGGCCTCTCTCTTAGTTATCTGGCTAATAGCTTCATAATCTAGCAAAAGGACCCAAAATCGCAATTGGTTCATTCAACTCAGTGAGTTGAACTCACAAAATGATAAGAACAAAACACATACATGCACACATTAGAAATAATGAAGTAACGAATATACATAAATGGTAGCTATCAGAGCGCGCTTACCTGAAATCCTTCGACTTCCGACAGCAGGAAATAGAAACATCCAAACCAGTGAGCTAATATCAGCAATATGTGAATTAAATTAACTACGCGCCATAAATTCGGCCATACAGTTCTACTCTCAACGATATAGTAAAATTTAACAGATCTGTAAACCTGTTTGGAACGACGTGAGCATCGTTGTTGTTTTCCGCAGCCGAATGAAAAGGAAGAAAGAAAAAAAAGAAGAGAAAGAAAGCAGAAAATTTATCAGTAAGTACAAATTGTATGTGAGCGTGCAAATGATGATAACAATACATCAAATAACATAACATCGACACAAAAAGCAGCCTACGAGTTTTGTGTCGGTTGCAAAAGTGTATGTTTCATGCTCTCACTGTTTATTATGTATCTCATTTTGGTGAGTTAATTGAAAAAGTTCGGTCGGGTTCTGTCGAAAATTATTTTCCGTTTCGGTGATGGCGTACGTTATTTTATGTAAAATAGATTCACTTTGAAGTTGTTGTTTTTTTCACCAATTTATAAATAATTTTGTACACATAAATCACGAACGAAAAAAAACATGAATTTTGGAGTTAATGCGCAGCACATCTTATCACTATTTGTTTCAAATATCCGCAATCACTTGAGGGTGATTGACAACACATCTATTGCAATTGATCCAAAACCAATATACTCACTTTTAAAAAACGTGGAAATCTAAGTAACGGTTGAGTGCCTAGTCTAATTTGAAGTAAATCTAATGGTATTAAAGCAGTCAAATCGAAGAGAAACTTTTTCGATCGCATGTAGTGAAGGGCCAATTTTTTATCGTCATAAACCTGTTCATAAAAAAAAAAAAAAACACATAAAATTGTTTTATTTTGTCTGCATTCAAAATGGAATTTGGATTCAATTATGCTTAATATTTTTCTTATCAGAATAAAAAGTTACTACGTCTATGCATTTATAAATATCAATGAGAATGAAAAACAGGTGTTGAATAAACTTTTAGAATTATCAATTCGACCCAAAATGGCTGAGTTGTGAATTCAAATGTCTGGAGGATATTTGATTTTGAGCCAGAGTCATTTTGCCAAAATTAGTTTCAAACTCGTTTTTGTCTTGGCCGATATTTGAATTGCATTGTGCGACCGCTCATCTATGATTGAACTGTGTGCTAAAGAACCGGAAGCATCACGTTAACCAAAATGAGAATTTATAGTCGAATCAAGGAAACGTTTCTATTTTATATATAGCATATCAAGACAAACCAATGCAATTTGATCCGCATCATTTTCAGCAAATATTTGTTGGCGAAACCTTTTTAGGTCAAAAATCGATCGGATTGCCGCAAACAATTGAGACAGATAAGATAGAAAATATAATATATATATCTGTGAAATGCCGAAGTGATCATCAATAAACTCGAAGAATAAATAATCAAACAGCCAATGTTCAAACATACAGTTGAACATCGACAGACAGACTTTTCTTGCCTCCACCACAAAAACTTTTCCTACTTTCTTTTTATATTTTTAAGCTGGCATTTCTTCTCTCTTTCTTTATCAAATCAAAAATTTATTTTGTTATTTTTTAAGAAGATTTCGCCCTTTATGCTATGCTTAGCAATTCGGAAGTGTGCTCTTTTCATGTTTCCTTGAACAGTTTGTTTTGCGTCTTTGGCAAGAAAAATTTCTTTGTGTATGCAATCAACTGGAAATCGTTTATTCTTTTCGATGCTCTATGGGAAATATTTGATGTAATTATTTCAAATATGTGAGAAAACTAAACAATATTAGGCTTTTTGCCTCTAAGCATATATGCTGATTGTTAATACTGATACCGATATAAAGCCTTCGCATTTGGTCCATTGCAGGAAATTCGTCTCTGATCAATGTTATTCAACGCACGTTTGCGATAACACATTTTCAGAGCGAATATATAAAACAAAAAAATAAAACTAAACTAGTTCGTATGAAAAGTGCTACCAAGATGTTTGGAATAAATTTGCACAGCATAAATATTAATGAATGAATGTGTGTGTGTGTGTGTGTGTGTACAAAAGACAATGAATCATTCGTAACTTTAGCCATTGTGCCTGTTTCCATTCGACATCCATCTCATTTTCTTTGTTTAGACGACAATTTCGTACTCCACGAGCATGAACACGATATGACACCAGTTATGAACAGTCATTCCAAGGGTAGAAATTTGACATCCTTTCTCTCTGGTATGACTAAAGACTTTTTAAAAGTGAGATTATTCATGGGGTCAGCAAAAAAAGTGACATCATATAAAATCTAATGACCATAATCAACCCATTCAAACTAGTCAATCCTGTTTAAAGTTATAATGCCACGTCACGTGTTGGAAGAACTCATACGTGTTTGTATTACACCGCAAATACTCTTTAGTTTCACCCCCAATTTAAATCATTTAAGTGAAAGCCATGACACTTGACACATACATTCAAATTATAAAGTTGCGCATTTTCCCATGAAAGTCTAAAGTGACATAGACCAGATCTGATTACCGTTTAATACTCAATTTTCATCGGAACCACCATTTATGAATTTATTTTCTAATTTAACTTGGACAAAAGTTACAACCCAATTTAATTGAAGTTCAAAACAAAACTTTGTACCACAACTTTTGTTTGTGAAACCTTCGGTACGCATTCGTTATAAAATTGTTTTGAGTGTAAATATTTGGAAGTTTATGCTTTAAACAAAAGATAGAAAGATATTTTGACCCAAGTTGTGTTGAAGCCTAGCTACCACTTACGAAAAAAAAAGACTTCGATTTTGTAAATGGTGTGTAAATATATATTCAATAGTAATTGTTTCATTTTTATCATTTCAATGACTTATAACTTAATTGTACGTAGGTTGCTCCATAATTTTTTTTAAAATGGTACTTATAGTGTTGCCCGATGTAAACCATTGTCATATTCGTAAAGTTTGATGTTTTGGTATGTATTCGTGCCCTGAACCTTTTGTCGTACGAACGCTATTTGTATTGTTTACAGTGACTGGTAAACTGCGACTCAACAAAAAAATGAATTTTACACGTGAAGATTTTCGTAAAATGATTTACTACGATTTTCGAAGTAAATTATCTCAACAACAGTGTTTCGATCGACTTCATTTGGCCTTTGGCAATGAAGCACCAACCCTTCAGACAATTTATAACTGGTACCGAGAATTCCGTTGCGGTCGTAGTTCGCTCAAAGACGAGTTTCATACAGGTCGTCCAAAATCGGCTGTTGTGCCACAAAACATCGATGCTGTCAGAAAACTGATTATGGAAGATCGTCATGTGACCTACCGTGAGATTGAGGCATCTTTGGGCATTTCATCCCACAGCATACATACAATTTTGCATGAACATTTAGCCGTAAAAAAGATTTGCTCTCGTTGGATCCCACATAAATTGACCGATGAACAAAAAATGGCTCGTGTGAGTTGGTGTAAAGAAATGCTCAAGAAATTCAATCGTGGTGCTTCAAAAGACGATAATAAAATCGTCACTGGTGACGAATCGTGGATATATGCCTATGAGCCCGAAACGAAACAGCAGTCGACTGTATGGGTCTTCCAAAATGAAGATAACCCAACGAAAGTTGTTCGAGCAAGAAGCACTTCGAAGCGAATGGTCGCCTGTTTTTTCGGGAGAAGTGGTCATGTGGCAACCGTTCCACTAGAGGATCGTAAGACCGTCAATTCTGATTGGTATACCACCATTTGTTTGCCCGAAGTGTTTGGTGAAATAAGAAAAAACAACCACCGTCGCAAAATAATTCTTCATCACGATAATGCGAGCTCTCACACATCTTTTCAAACTACTCGATTTTTGACCGGTCAAAACATCGAACTGATGGGTCATCCACCGTACAGTCCTGACCTGGCACCCAATGACTTTTTTTTGTTCCCAAGCGTGAAGAAAAAACTACGTGGTCAACGATTTTCGACACCAGAAGAAGCAGTTGAAGCGTTCAAAACACACGTTTTGGAGATATCAGTTTCGGAGTGGCACGAATGCTATGACAAATGGTTTCATCGAATGCAAAAGTGTATCGATCATCTCGGGGAATATTTTGAAAAACAATAAAACCATTTTCGACAAAAAACAACTGTGTTATATATGTTTTTAAAAAAAATTATGGAGCAACCCTCGTATTATGTGCAGTCTTGCTTTCCAAATGTAGCAAAGTTTGAAGTTGATTCTTTTGATACTAATTAGAAGACAAACTCCATTCAAATTTCAATGGAAAAATTATTTCTGCATAAGTATTGCACTTCATTAAGTTAAATATTTGGTAAATACCATAAATTTCCTGAAGTAAAATGAAATGATTTTGGTATTGTGCTAAGCTATTCTATTTAAAGTAAACCATTGTAATTCGAATTTCAGTAGAATCAGCCTGAATTGACGAAACTGGTAATGATGTTATTTATATATATTTATTGATGGAATTTACTTGGTAACTAATTGGCTTTATTTTGCGAAAATCACTTCAAGTACCCCAAGTATTAGCCAATTCCAACATTTATCATTTATTTTCCATATCAGGTGGGATGGTATCTTTTATAAAAAAATAAAAACCAATACCAAAAAATGAGTATAAAAACAAATGCATGGAAGGTATCACATGTTGTGTACTATATTTGACACTGTGGTCTACCTGATGGATTACTGATGCCATTCAATTATCAAAACCGTTGAAAAGAGGAAAACGATGTGCGCGATTGGAGAATATAAATAAATTGAAGTTTCAAGGTTGAATGGGAATCACATGTTTCCCACTAAATTGAACAACGAACATTTCACACTATACGAATTTCTCATCAATTTATAAAACGAATTGTGGTTTTGATTCATTTTTCGATTATCCACATATATATGGAACATAAGCAGTTCGCGACTATAAAATAGATTAAATCTCGTTGTACAATTTTCATCGCAAATGCAAAAGCTACAAAAAGCGTGTCCATTTCCAACGTTAAACAGATAAATCGAATTAAATGTTCATAAACAAAAATAGAGATAAATTGACTTTGGAGTACTCATGGAAATGCGTCTGATGCAAATTATTCGCGGTTTCCCTTCGGCACGCGGTTTATTGTATGAAACGGCATTTTGTCAATGAAATGAAATTCATGTTGTTGGTTTTGCGGGAGAAAAAAATGTATCATTTCATTTTTCATAGTACAACCTATTACGTAATAAGTGTTATTTTCTGCCTTGTAATAATCTCACCCTTGGTTTATTTTTCCTTTAAACGACCCGAAAAAACACAATAAACCCAAATAATTTCATTTATTTGATTTTTTTCTCTCCCATGTCCTTTTTCAATTCTTATTTCATTCCCGCTAGATTCATTTTCTCATTGTATGTAAATGTGTTGTCCCCAGATATGGCGAAATAATCACATTAGCATGCAATTTATATAACGAACTGGGTGAACTTGAGTCTGGAACGTGAAGTGTCTTGCGACAAAAATGATTTTTTTATGGAAATTTTCGAAACGGAAAAAAAGCTTTTGAATACCAGAGCGACACTTTTCGGCCCGGTATGTGTGTGTGTGTTTTGAATGCAGAAATAAAACCACATGCCACTCTGTATGGTTGTGGTTTTGTCGAACCTTTTTTCAGTTCAAAAAAATATTTTGTGATTTGGAAGCGACATTAAAAAGCATTTTGTTCGTTATATTCCAAATTATTGTGCTCTTTCACCTATAATGCAATAAAAAAAATCACCAATTTGAAAGTAGCAAAGTGTCATTAGTTATTATTCCCAAATGAATCATCTCCCGTATTTTTGCTCCAAATGTATCCATTTGCACTGTATCTTTTACGAATCTTGATTCTTTTTCATTCAGTTTTCGTTTTACTAGTATCCATTATCAATTTGGGTTCGTTGTAGTTTTGTTCCAGTTGTTCGATATATTCTATCAATGCTGTTCGTTTCACGAGTCTGATGTTCGTGTTGCAAAAACAAAATGATGAGATGGTTATTCCAAAAACGTCGATAAAAATAATAAACAAAATCGAACAGCATGACTGTCGCCGGCTGAAGAATAACTAGTATTAAATGATAATTTCACAAATGAGAGTGAGCAATTGTTGCGATTCGAATCGAATATCAAACCGAAAGTTGAGCGTATCGCTCAAGTTAGTTTGGCCATTTCACATCTTGAGCAACGTCTAGTTCAATATCGATTTTCTCCTGCTTTTGCCATTCGTTTCTGCGGCATTCTTGGTTCGAAGTACCAAGAGTAGTTATTCTATTCGCATAAAACAACAACATGTTCATTGTTCGAAAAGAGCAAGGCGGATGTTTGTGAGCACAAAATCCTGCATTTCTTGATAAAACTAATACATACAAAACAGGCAATATACTGAGCATAGATATTTATCCGAGATATTTTGTGAGAATCCGATAATTACGGCAGCAGTCCATGCATTATTGCTCCTTCTAAACGAAGTGTGTGTGAGACTCGAATTGGCGTGTGTACCTTAAACACAATACGATGGAAGGGGTAAATGCACAGATCGACGCTCATACTTATACACTCACACGGATGTGCTGTGCTTTATACTCACACAAAGATTCTCGCTCGTACATCGCAGACAAACGAGGAAAACAATGAATTAGTTACATGAGCTAGTTATCTGTGCATTATTACTCCTTCAAACGAGTTGTGTTTAAGTCAAACAATATTGCATTGGGTGTGGATAATTATCGGATACTCACAAAATATCTCGGATAAATATCTATGCTCAGTATATGGTCTGATACAAATGAAAATGAAATTTTACAAATAGCAATCGCCACATTATGTTTATTTTTGGTCCAGTAAGAGACTAGAATAGCCATTGATTTTCTGTAGGCAGAATATTGATGATGTATCATTCAAGATGGCACGCAAACCAAGCATGACTCAAAAATAAGAGATATATAGCTTTGTAGGTTTTCCAATATTTTTCTTTTCATACATTAAACACGTACATATAGGCATCTATCTTCTTTATCGAAACTTCTTTGACCAAACATATCGGTGATATTGTTGATGGTGACATAGTCAAATATACATTGAAAATATGTGTAGGCGGCTCAGACGATACAGCATACTTCAAATTGCTTACATACATGGAAATGAACAAACGTATTCCTGAATGCAAGCACTTATATTCTACCGTGATAGGCACTTTTTAAGCGAACATATACCGGAAAAAAAGATAAATGACTGTAGCAAAATATACCATTCACCATCAGGCCAGCACAATTTTGGTGTTCGACGCCGAAAAAAGAAAAAAAGCCGTTTGTAAGATAGTGATGGATATTATGTCCATATATTCACATTTCCCTCATGTGTTTGTGCAAGATTCGCACTTTGAACGGTGTATAAGTGCTCATCCCAACGGTGGTTGGGACACTTTTGTAAACGGTGATACATGTGATGTGGTGTATTCATCCGAAACAATTTTGTGATTCACGCGTAGTGATATAAAACCACTTACCAACGTGAATGATGTATCTTATCATTGTGTCACGATACAAGTGTCTCGCTTTCTTCTGAATATAATTCAATGTACTAGCGTCGTGGGATACATCACAAATTATAGGTTTTTATCTCTTTCAATTGTGTTTGTACCATTTTTGACTTGTAAAACCATGGCTCTTACATTTATCCTGAGATTATGTTTATGTTTCCCGGTGCTGTTTTTTCTAAATCCAGTAGTTCGATTCCATTTTATGGCAACAAAAACAATAACTCTCCGATAGTTCCGTTCAAGTGATGTTAGCATAAACATTCAATCTACTAGAGTTGATGACGAAAACGGAAACATTTCGTGAGAAGAGCTAACTTAGCGTAAGTACGGCTATATGAGCAATGTAATTGCATATTGTCTGTGAGTTAAAAAAAATTGACACAGACAATAGCATAAATGTTGCTCTTAATGAAAATGGTTTTCGCCCGTTTTTCCATGAATTTTTGGGTTCGAAACAGAACTCTAATCAAATGTTGATTTGTATTTGAGAGAACAAATGACGTCCATTGCTTTTATTGCCGTTGACGAGGCACCAATCAAGGAAAAGTGTGGATGAGAATCTACCAACCATAACATGAAATCCGCAAATATTTAATTAAATTGAACTGAACGTAAACACGTTCACGTGAAGACTCCTTCAAACAAGAAGAAGAAGAAGAAGAAGAAGAAATCAACTTGGTTTTTGTAGTCTTATTTAATGCAACGCAAGATGAAGATGTACAAATGGCCATAGAATGATGTCTTACCACCAGCAATAAAACGAAATAACACGCACACGTAATTTTCCATTCTGCAATTTATTCACAAGACCATGAAGACTATCAGAGATATGGTGAATTAGGTTAAAGTACAAAAATATCGATAAATTTTCAACTGTTTTGTGAGTTTCGATTTTCTTCGTTTGTCACTCCCAAATATGGGTAGCGGTTGTTTTTGTTTTCCGGTTTATTTGATTATCGTTTCACATCGTTTCTATTGAACTCAACGGCTGAGTAAATTCATTCGTTCAGTGTCATACTCGATTTGACGTTGAACATCTTGGACAGGCCCATGAAGAAATTCTTTTGCTTCGGTTTAGCTTTTGCCACATTCAATAAATGGATGTGGTGTCGTACATGACACTAGCTTTATTGGTTATACACTCACATATACACTTTCATTCCTGCTTACGATTCGATTTTCACTTTCACTTTCATAGCGCTTATAAAACGGGGAATTGGTATTTTCATTGGCAAAATATGTTGGTTAAGAAGAAGTGACACCAAAAGATAATAAAGAGAAGGAAACTAAATGGCTCATAAAACTTTATTGGAAACGACCCGTGCATGCATTTTGGCTTCATTTCGTTTGCCACCAGATCTACACATCATGGTTGTTGTCGTGCTGCCAATATCACTGCTGCAAACAAATTTCGTGTAGTATTTTTTTCCATCGATCTGAGATTGAAATGGTCGGTTGCTAAGGAAATCAATAGGTTCTAAAAGTCTATAAATTACATTCGTACGAAGACCAAAAAAAAAAAATCTGAAAAAATTTATTTTTTTCGGTTTTTTACGAAAAGTAAAAGATAAAATCGATTCCGTACCCGTTCCGACCAATGTCCTTTAATTAATTCAAAAACTCTCGAGAAACATGCAAATTGTCAAGAGAAAGTGCTGGAAATCATTGCCATTCTATCTGTTACACTGATATAAATTCACAGTTCGAACTCATCTAATGGATAACATCTCTCAGAGAGTGTTTTTTCTATCTCTCTCTTTTCAAAACGAGATTGTCCGATCAATGCCAAGAATGTTGTTGTTATCGCTTATTATCATCACAATACATTTATTCAACTTCGATAATGGAATTTTTTTCTATTCTGTTTCAGCATTTTTTTTTTTATTTCTATTTTGCTGTTTTTTTAAATATGTAATGAGGTTTTTTTTCGCAAGAGACATTTATTTCTTTCATTCGGTTGACATCGCATCCCATCGTTTCCATTAAATATATGTATGAATACAAACAAACGGAACGCAAAAACATTGTGACAAAATGAAGATGAAATAGAGAGATGGAGAGGGCGAGAAAGAGAGAACGAAGGACAGAGGCAAAAAAATGCGAACTATTGAAGTGAAAGAAAATTCAAAAGAATAATTATGATGTGATAAACAAAAAAAAATGTTCCATTTGGAATTTTTGTTTCGTCTGTAAGAAAAAAGAGAAACATACTCGGTACATCAGCAAAAAAAATCGTGCTCCAACGATAAATGCGATGCCACATCCAAAACTACTTATATGAATGTAAGAACGTGAACAAACAAAAGGCATCTGTTGTATCTGTGCGTATGGCATATTTTTTCGTCGCTTTGCATTGCAGTTCAAGGAATGCGTTGAAAAAATGTGAACTATTTGCTCGTCATTTGGCAAGGCTCAAGCATTTTTCTTCTTTCTTACATTTCTTACAATGTGCCAATCTTTTTACGCACAATGTAACGTGCTATTGTTTGCGATTTGTACGCTTTCAATGGGGGGAGGAGAGCAAATTTGTTTTCTTCTATGGTAATAAACATTTTTTCAATTTTCATTCGCAATTAAATTCGGGCGCTTTAATCAAATTGTTTTTTTTTTGTCGTTGTGGTTCGTATATTTTGACTGCACAGTGCTTACAATGTAAATGAAATTCAATTTTAACAAGATGTTATTTACAAACAATTTGAATATCTGCATTACTTCGTTATTTTTTTGCAGAGGTTTGTTGATGCACATTGTTTAACCGCTGAAATAAAATATCATATGTTTTCGTTTTGATATCTCATCCAATTTTTGTAAAATCAACATATTCTGATGAATCATTATGATTATTATATTACAACAACAACCATGATGAAAATGAATTTTGACATGAAATAAATCTACATACTGTTAAAAACTAAAAAAACAAAATATAGTAAAAAATTGCTTGCCATAAGCCCTTGTTCAAGGTAGCCCGTTCTAAGCTGGACAACGATGTCAAATATAAATATTATATCACTGATGGAGTCACAACCGAACCAAAAATTCGGCACCAATTCCTGCAAACAAAATAGAGAAACATAATTCGTTTATAATTAAATTCAATCATCTTTGGTAGATTCATGGATTTGAACAATAGCAGTAACCGACCGACAAACCAACTTATTATGCACGATAATATTAAATATTAATGTGTAAAAATGAATAGAAACCTGTAATTCGGGAAAGCTTTGGCGAACGATGAGAGTCCATAAATTGTATAAAATGCATACGGTGAGCACCATTAACCAGTAAAAATAGAAATTTTCATCCGGATTGACAACGGAACGGCGCTTTTGGTTATAGCGTCGGCGTCGCTTTGAAATTTTATCATGATCGCCCGATGCACTCTCCGAACCCGTTTCCTCCATCGTTTCCTAAATGAATAAAATGCGCGATAGGGACAAGCAAGAGAGAGAGAAATTATATAAACAGTTTAATAAAATTGATGAATTATTTGCTTTTATTGAACGATATTGTTGTAATATTTCGTGAAATTCTGTTTAATGTCTTCATTAACGATTCATATTACATAACCATTGGTTGTATAACAACAATGTGGTAATCATTTTATGACTATAATTCGTTGAAAGTCATGAGTCATGACGCTGTGAAAATACTTCACAACTATGATGTGCAATATTTATGTATATTATAAAAGTCAACCATTTCCACAAACAGATTTGCCTGCGGATGGAAATATTTTATAAACAACCGGATCGGATTGCATGTAATAACATCGTCGAATGAACATTTTAATTTTAATAATAATAATGTGAAATTCAAATTTCCTCAATTTTATACTGCACCATTTGCCTATTGGAGCGAATGGATTGCGTGTCCGACAAAAGTCAATTGCAATCGCATCCCAATGTCATTCGAATTGTCATGTTTTGATGCCTAGCCGTTGCAAAATATATTGAGGCCCAGACAGATTTTAATTTATTTTCTGTTCTAAGCATTCGATAAAAAATGACCTCAATTGTATTGCTTTGCACCAACTTCATCATAGTTAATTCTATTTGAGCTATTTTCGTTGCATTCAATTTTGTCAGATGATGTCGTAGCTCATGTGTAATACGTAAACTAATTCGGGTCAATCAATCAGGCGCGCGCTTTACGGCTTCAACCATCGTATCGTTGATTAGTGTGTTCGTGTTCAACAACGCTTTAAATTTTCCCATCTCATTCAGAGCATATTTTAGATGAATATGTATGTTTGTAGGTTTGGTAAACATTTTACGCATATAAATTGTCGACGACCATACTTTACATTGCAGTGCAGTTGATTTTGGCTCATCGATCTTTCTCGAATCTGTTTGCACGATATGGAACGTTGGGCGTTCAAGTAACTACCTATATCTTGATCCATCGACAAACAAATCCCAAAAAATAGGGACTTACATGGTGTGTGTTTGTTTGTTCGCACGGGGAATTGCTGAGCCTAAACATTTAACCCAGAGCAGATGTGTTTGTTCAACCTATGCGTTCGATTTAATTTCAGCAAACAAACAACCAACTTCGCTAAAATATACCATATAATCAATTCATGTTTGTTAAATTTTTCGTTTTGTCCAAGCGATTTTCTTTCGATTTGGCTCCGTATGAATGCACACATTTTTAAAATCACCAATGAGAAAAGAATTTGTAATAAAAATTGGTGTTACGCAAATCCAGCTTGTACACAAAACATTAATTTTGATGAGGACATGATGCCGTATTCGTTTCAACAGTTTGTGGGAATTCTCATTTGAGTTAATATGTTGGCTAAAAATCCTTTTTTCATGGATTACTGACTCTAGAAAATGCCACGCATAAATCAAATTTGCTGATGTTTGCAGCCCATGGCCAAAATCCGACAAAAGGCAATGGGAAATCGTCTCTAATCCTTTCCAATCGAACCATTTTGTTGGAACTGTGTCATTACTTTATTGTTGACACCACAATAATTTCATTTCATTCAACTCCATTTGTTTTTTTCTCATTCTGCATTTTCTTACAACAACACACCAGCTCATGTGCATGACATGGAATTACTGTTTAATTGATATGACTCGAGTCTCAAACTTCGTCAACATTTAGTCATTCCATTCAATTCCACGCTCGATTCAATGTGGCATTTCATTTAAAAAGGACGTGTGACGCATGCAGAATTTTTGCTCTATTTTTCCATCAAAATCAAGATTCAAATGCAAATAAAAATACCAAACTTAAGCAATCAGAGAATTTGAATTGAAACTTTCAATCGCACCAGTTTGAATTACAAGAAGAACGTGTCTACTGAGATTCAGTATGACAATAAATTTCTATAAAGTGTGCAGTTTTCGATTCGATTGTACACGTAAATGTGTCTGTGTGTGAGAGTGTATCAACAAACGGAATCAATTCATTGCTTATGCAATGTTGTCATATGGTCCCTTGGCGTTTATAAAACGGTTTACAATTCAGTCTTTCCCTCATTTGCACTGACACAGTTTGTGCTCTTGTTTTTTTCTATTCTCACAATTTCAATTGTATAAGCATTTCTTATGACAATAAAAATGCCAGGAAGTGTCGTTACTGCCTGCAGAAATATCGAATCGATATTTTGAATTCGTATTTGGAATTTCATCAAGAATTTGCGATTCACGGTCGCATGTGTTACATTCAAACTGAGCATTTCCACACTATATACATCATATCTGCAGATGTGTTCAAAGAAGTGTAAACTTTATGCTGCACACAGCACCAGCGCACTATAAATAATGTAAACGTACGAACACAGAATGGATAAGTATTTAATGTAGACTGCCAGCACCCAACAGTGTTGTAAACAATCTGATTGACGACAGATTTAGCGGCTATTTTTGGTATTCGATTCGTGATTTTTCGAACGAAGAAAATCTCTTATTTTGCTTCATCAGACACGTTCGACCATGTTTGAAACGATGCTTTTATGGAGTCTGATCCGCTTTAAAATTCGACACGAACACACTCCATTCGATTAAGCACCGACGAAAACAGATTTTTCAAAAATCGCAAACGATGTACACAAACCAATTTCGACAAGTTCAATCAGTGCTCAAAGTAATTTATCGAAGAAAACAGATCACTTTTCTTAAGACGTTGGCCTCTTTGTGTATGTGTGCGCAACCACACAAACCTGTACTTATCATGATTAAAAGTGAATATATGTATGCCAATGACTGACCTGAGTTTCCGGTATTTGTCGTGTTGAGAATCGTTTTAGAAAGGAATCTTCTCGCTTCAGGGGCGGTTTTTTCTGTATGGCCGATGACAACTGTACGGTTGTTCGTAATTTCATCCATCGTTGATTTGATTTGGTCCTGTTGGGTCGTCAAAAGAGACAAGAAAAAACGGTAAAAAAATATAAAAAATTGAATGTTAGTTTTTCGGTCGTATTTGTGTTGAAAGCGAAATAAATAGAGAGCTTTTCATTCAGTAAGAAGTATTTGGATTTAGAATTTGGAAAAGAAAGGATACACAAAAGTAGTAATTGCACTTAAAATGTTAAAATCAGTTTCCATAAAGAAAAGTAAAATCTATTTTTAGTGATTTTAAAGAACGCATACAAACGAATGAAAATGTCTTTAAATTAACGAATGAAAGAATGAAAATGGATTCGCGATAGCAGAAGCAAAACACTAATTGCAAAACATATATAACACTACACTATAAATGTTAATTAGTTGATAGTTTTAAAGCATGATAGCATGGACTTTTAATTCCACGTACATGATGACGTTTTATCGTTTGCTTTTGTGTGTAAATAAACTTGATGTTCACCACAAGTGCAAGCAAACCGGAAATCGGTCATGTACGGTGCAATTAATTAAAGCCACGAGTTAAAGATAGAGAGTTTCTTAACGGCAACTACTGAGAGATAATCGACACTGATTCAAGTATAATGAAGATAGAATCGCGATGAATGACAGAATGATAGAAGCACGTGCAATCTAATTTGAGGCAAGACTTTGGAATTTTTGCAAATTTTTGCAAATTTTTGTTTTGTTTCTAAAGTAAAGTGTGTCGGCTACATCTATTGAATGTGAAAATTCTAATTTTTATAACTACATTGCAAACGAGTTTGTTTTTGTTAAATTGCAGTGAAATAGCACTGTTTGTGAAACACTTATTTGATTTTGTTGACGCAGTAATATTCGTCAAATCCCGGAAACGTTGTCCACTTTTGCTTTTTGTATGCGATGATAGACGCGCTAAATTGGTGCATTCATTTGGAATGTTGACGAAAATGTTTCCGTTGACTTGGTCGTTAATTTCGTAAATCCACACATTTTCTCTTGGATTATATTAGTTCCATTGGCATTTTCTATGCAGCAAAATATTCTAGTTTAGCAAAAACGAGCCATTTTATAGTTTACAAATGCATTCGGTATATGATTACGTGCACACATGACTATTGCAAAATATAGCCATAAGCGAGAAGCAAAAAAAAAAACACTGACGGGAAATGCTTTCATTACTCCCGATGCTTTGACCTTTGTGCATGGTTTTATATGGTACAGTTATGCACGTCCCCAGCCAATATATATCTCTACGTAAAATTTGCTGTAGAATACAAATAACGGTTGAAAATAGCGAATTTGTATTACAGTCAATTTTTCGTAGATGGTTGTGTGGACTGCAGAAGATTCTCCGAGCAAATATTAAAATTCAGATAAAAAATTGCTTGTGATAAAAATGAAGTTATAAAACACAATGAAATGCAGAATAGCACTGACCACGGACACATGTAACACAGTGGTCGTATATCAAAAACCACATTAGCGTGGCGTGGCCGCCATTATATAAATCGAAAAACCATACCAAACTCGGCGAAAAATTGGACGGCCAACGAAAATGTTTATTTATAAAGTCGAATAGAAATGTTCCCCTTCTCTTGCACAGTCAAAGTATACAAACAGCACATAAAAAATACGACATACATTTTTTTGGTGATTTATGATAATTATATTTATGTGCGTGCATTGTATAATAACGTTGTTAAATTGCACCGTCCAAAAAAAGTAGATTTGAACTTTTGGTTCAACGAAATTCAAAAGAACATTCGAAATAAAAATAAAAACATACGTGAATATAGATATTTTTTCCCTTTGTAATGTTTTTTTTAAAGTTTGCTGTTTGACCTTCGATAAATGTTTATGATAAATGTATGTGGCGATGCTGCAGTTAAGACACAAAAAACCAAAAAACCATCACGTCAAAAGAATGTTTCATTTGAAAAACTTTTGAAAAAATGCATTTTTTGCAGTTTTAAATCATCTCTACTTATGACAAAGAAGAAATTCTTTTTTTTTTCAAAGCTGACTTTTTTGTCCTAATGACTGACTATAGCTATCTACATAAATCCAAAAGTAAACCACACAGTTGAGCACTCTAATATTAATGTTTGTTATTCGTTGCTCATTCATGAAATTCAAAAATCGATCAGAATTTATAATAAAACCCAATGTTACCAGGCAATGTTCAATTAATCAAAAAAAAAAAAAAAAACTAGCAATGCAAAAATACCAGCTTACGAGCTTTATATTCATCAAATGAAAACAATAAAAATGTATACCAATTACATAATGGTTTTGAGCATTGCAGCGAATGAAAAAGAGATTATTTTAAGAGGCAGAAATGTCATTGTTTTGTTGATGACAGTTCTTCAAATCCGAGTGCACACGCATATTATTCCATAAAACAAATGCATTTAAAAATGAAATAAATTCCAATTATTTGTGCATCAACTAAACAAGCGATAAATGCAGTTTGCATATGGAATAGAAGCATAGAGCAGATCACGTCTACAATAAGTCGGTAAACATGTTTTACAATGGAACGAATGTCCTTTCGCCATGTCATCTTGGTTCGTTGCAGCTTTTCTGCGTTTATCGTAACAAAAGAATGACGTCAGTTTTCATTATATGTACCGTACATAGACATGTTGAGTTGTCTTCTTTGATGTCTGAATCCACATCCTTTTCATAACATTGAAATGGCAAGCGGCAACCCTTTTTTACCGTTTCATTTAGACTGATTATGTAACAACAATATATTAAGTCTTTTAAATATCCAAAGAATCTTGGGATTCCTCTTCTTCAGCAGATAATGGCGTCTTGATAAAAAAAAAGTTGAAAAGAAATCAATTTCATTTTGTCAACAGACTGCAATGAATACTATAAAACTGAGATTACGCACCAGAACGACATGATTGAATTTAATTAAAACTCATTCACAATAATTGATGTTTATATCTGCATCACTAAATGGGCTCAGTGATACATTACAGAATGACATGCTTGGTCGTTCATCTAATTTCCCCATCGCACCGGGAAATTCTTGATACGTTTTTTCCCCATCTTCTCTTAAAATTGTCTGCGGACTTAAGCATTGCGTCAAGGCTCTTGAAATAATGAAAATGTATTACAATGCTCAGTTTTGTAATTCTCACTTAAATTTCGAATAGTTCTAATGAAATAAAATTTTGTTCGCATTTAACATTCTATGTAGATGGCGCATTTCGATGGGAATACTTCTTATGTTTGGTGATGACACAACAGGCAACAAATTAGATACAAATGAAGCTCACAAGATTTAATATTGTGATATATATGTAGATGTGCATCGTTGAAATGATGGCCAAACAAACGACGGTACAAAACTATTCCGTTGTATATGCCAACCTTAGCAATTGTTTGCAATAAAGTTTTCGTCATTCATTCGAAAATACAATTTTGTTCCGGTAAAATAAAGCATCTATTCGCAAGTTTAAATGGAAAAGTTTGAATGTGACTCACATTATGTGTTCTCACAATAGTTTTACTAACTTTCAGTAGTATTGCATCAAATAATAAATAAACCTTGACGTTTCTCTCAATTCAAACCGATTTAACATCACACAGACTAGTTGGTTGAGCTGTTTGACATTGATGTTTGTGTTTTGTGGCTTGAATTCTTCATCTCAAATGATTTAGTTTGAAATGCGTAATTATGTATTAGTATGTTTTCATTATTAACATTAGCTAAATGCACATAAAATGAGTTTAAGTTTATTTGAAAGAATAGCAAAAAAAGACGAAGCAGAGATACGCCATTTTATTTGATTTAATTTTGGATCATTGAATTTAACTTGGTTTTTGTTTTGCTTCTCAAGTACGGCGCAATTTTATCACTCGTTTTTAAAATGAACATTTTTTTTATCTGTGGCCATATCACAGGTGCAAAATAAAATCTGTTGCCAAGCCATAAAATTCCAGGAAACGTCAAGGTTGCACAGAAGAAGAATTCTGTTTGAGTTTAGAAACACTCAAACTGGCAGCAAGAAGAAATCAATTGCAAAAAAAATGAAACAAAAAGTTTGAACTTATCAAAATCAAACGCATTTTGCATCTTAACAGTTCTACGTAAGATACTCGAGACTCGGGGTGATATACTGAGTGTTTGGTAATTTAGGTGTCGCCTTCAAACATTCATCGTTGACGAGTGTCAAAATTTCACTGTAGAAAAACTGACGAAAATTAATGAGAAACAAAGCAATTAAAAAATACTTGTTTAATATAGTTGCTGGTTGTTTTTTTGTTTCGCCAAAAGCAGTTACTTTGTTCGTTAAGAGCGTTGATAGTGAAAGCATGTATTTTATTGGCGCTTCAATCCAGTTAAGTGGGAGAGAATAGTTTTTTCTCTATCTCTATACAGTCACACATACATGTATAGTTGGCTAATGACACGAATGTATGTGCGAATGTGGCGCCAGGTGGACGAGTATCGCCATAAAATCTGTGTGTTTATTTGCTTTTAGATCCCATAACTTTTTCTACTTTGCCAGTTGATGCTTTTTGTTCGTTCAGCTCTTTTCTTTCATATATGTGCTTTATAACAAAGTTTTTTTCTTCTCTTGCTTCGTTCACCCCATATCTTTATCGTACTTTCCACTCAATTCGAATGAGAATGCGAATGTGATTGTGAACATCGTTGTCATAATACACAAAAAGTATATATATCACGTGGTACGATAGCAAAACTCAGAGAAATCGAAATCGAAAACTTATGCTGAGCGAAAAAAAGAAGGAATGATGTGTGCAAAAGAAATGGAAGTTGGATAAAAAATTGCCATGGTTTTTCATGTATTCTCTTTATGTTTTTATTGCGAGGGGAAAGTGTCGGGCATGTACAATGTTGAAAGATAAGAAGAACTTATTTTGCTCTCGCCAAATCAATATAACAATATCAAGCTGAGCGTGTGCATAACATCGAGAATACAGAGTGCACAGCGTGAAATAAACAAACAGTGGGCAACAAACAAAATCAAATAATTTATCGA